CGGGAAGGGTGCTGAGTTCGTGGGAGAGGGCCGCGGGAGCTAGAGATGTTTTGGCCCACTGACCTGCAGAGCCAATAGGCCCAATTAGACTGGGCGTCCCAAGCTAAAATTTAGGTCTGGGACGTCGAGATCCAGCTCCTGCCGTCAAGGAACGGTGGTCTCTACATGGACACCCCTGCACACGGGCAAGGCACGAATAGCTTGCTGGATCCTGGCTCTGCTTCGTGTGATTAATACCTTCCGGGAGAGGAGTGCACTCCGCTTGGGTTCTGGGTCCAGCCGCGACCCACTACCCCGCCACACAAGGCAGCCGGCAGGGGTTCTGGATGCGCTAACTCGCTCCTTGGAGGATTCCTTGGTGTGGGGGGGGCAACCAGAGCTATTCAGGAGGGTCCCCGCTGTGGTTATTTAGAAAACAGTATGGGGTGTTCCTTACTGTGGAGTGTGACCTGTGATGAGAAGGAAATAGGTCAGCTGCTAACAAGGCCTTTCTAAATGTGTCGGATTACATGGCTTTTGTATTTTTCTGTACATTTTTTCCCTCTACATTTTAAATGTTTTTCAAAGTTCTAGAGCAAGTAGACTAAGACTTCATATATACAGGTGCTTCAAGAGGATATTTAATTCCAGCACCCTGGGAAGCAGAAGCAGAAAGATCACAACTTGAGCCCAGCCTGGCACTATAGGAAGACTCAGTCTTAAAAACAAAAAAACTTCTGCCAGACGTGGTGGCGCACACCTGTAATCCCAGTACTTGGGAGATTGAGGCCACCCGTTGGAGACCAGCCTCGATTACATAGAGAAACCCTGTCTGTCTGTCTGTCTGTCTGTCTCTCTCTCTCTCTCTCACACACACACACCCGCGCAAAAATTTTTTTCTAAAGGGCTGAGGATATAACTTTGTGTGAAGGCCTGGGTTCAATCCCCAGTCCTGCAAAACAAAACAAAAGCAAACAAAAAACCACTATGCCACAAGTAAAACACATGGAAAATGATGTGCAAAAATGAGTAACCCCACGGCAAATGACCAAAGGAAAAAATATCTTGTGAAAAACTCTTTAAAAGGTGATTATTGGAGATGGTGATTTAACTCAGTGGTTCCGCTGCCTGTCTCACAAGCACAGGACCTGAGTTCGATGCTCAGTACCAAAAAAAAATGTGATTATGATGTCTTCAACCTTATAAACTCAGGTTTGTATCGACCAAGTCAACCAACTGCACCTCCATGCTTTTCAGATTTTATTATCCAGATGCTGCCTCCCTCTGGAAAATGACAATGAAAGACCAACAAAATCAATAGACAGCCTTGGGCTCTCCACTGGTTTGGCACCTGGGAGGGAAAAACTATCTCTTGTACTGGACTCCACCCCTGCCCTCTTGCCTCTATGTCTCCCAGTCAAGATAAAATGCTGGCAGTAACACCAAAGGGATGATGTGCCCAAAATAAGCATGTGCCTGAAAAGTCACATCCCAGCAAAAAACAGTCCCAGAGGACAGGAAGTCGAGACTCACCATGGATTCAGAGACGCACGGATTCTCTCACCTTTGACAAGTTTCTTTTTGTCATTTTTGTTTCTGGAGACAGGGTCTCGCATTGTATTCCAAGCTGGCCTTGAACTCATAGTGGACCCCAGACTGGCCTCAAACTTGCAATGATCCTCCTGCCTCAGCCTCCTGAGTACTGGAATTATAGGTGTGCACCTCTGTGCTCGGTTTAGGTATTTATTTTTGAGCTACTGGCTGTAATCTCACTAGCCAACCCCTGCTTAGCCTGAAGTGCCCCTTCCTCCAGTTGATCTTCCTTAGCCATCCTGACTAGACTGGGTTAAGGTCGTGGGAACTGTGTGTTCGCCCGCAGCTCAACACCCAATAACGCAACAGGTATTTCCTGCGTTAACTGCCTCCAACGTGCTTGGTGCTGTTCTAGTGTGGGGACTATGCTCGGAATGAGATAAAGTTCATGCTGAGATTCTAGTGCTGGGACATCAGAAAACACACCAGTCTCTATTTTAGTATCCAGTAGTAAGTATATAGAGAAAAGGCCAGGTAGAAAACCACACAGTGCAGGGGTATGGCCAAGACCACATGCTTCCAAGCAATAGGATCTGACTGCTGTATCCAATCTGTTTACCCCTCACCCCCAAAGAGGAGAGGGGATCATTTGTGTCTTTATGTCCCTGCTGGCCAAAGCTTACAACATCCAGTTTCTAGGTCTGTGCAAGTGGCAGCAAAATACATGTGCTGTCTGCTAGTGGCCACTACTTTCCAACTCCTGCAACAACAATCTTGATTATATATATTTTGTAAATTGCGGTTCTGCCTGCATTTCACTGCTAAATGGTCTCAGAAGACTTCATTACCCCTTGTCCTGTCATAAAGTGACAGCCAGTCACAGTCACATCTATTTCTACCACAGTGAATATGGATGGAACTCCAACACAACCTGCAGACTCACCGAGACTTATACATATTTCATTTTTTATTACCAATCAAAAATAAACTCCATGTATTGTTTAGCAAATATTATCAGTTTTGTGACAAAAGACACAAGAGTCATAACAAGAAAACTCCCCGAGAGTCAAACTCATAACAATGCCAAAATAAATCACAAAAATATACAAATTAAAATCTTATGCAAAATAAATAGGAGTCATTTGCTATGGTGGCTATGACTTGCCTACCCATTTGGATGCCATTTACAAAGGTCCCCCTTAGGCAGGAAGACATGAGCAGCGGGCCAGTTCTGGGTATGGCTCAGCCCAGGAACCCAAGGATGGAACAGGAAGTGAACAACGGTACTGGGAGGAGGAAGTTATCGGACCAGTAATATTTGGAAATAATCATGAGCCTCTGGAAGAAGTGATTATAAGTAGGGGGAGGGAGGGCGAGGGACCAGTCTGTTGGTGGTGAATGCGTGTGCAAAGAGGTAGCTGTGGGAGTGTGTGCGCCTGCTGCCTTCCTCCCACGCCCATGAGGTTTGGGCCGGTGTGGTTTCCACCTGGCACACAGGACTCTCAGGATCACGGACCTGCCAGCTCCTGTGGGATTCAAGAGGAAGCCGTTCTTGTGGAAAACTAAGGGCTTCCTAAGAGGTCTCCAGGCTGGCGTCTCTCCCTGATGCTTGAGGACCCGCGGACGCCATCCCCTTCTCTTTAGGCTCTCAAATGGGGAAGGCCTTGGTCTGGCCAGGGGCAGGTGCGCTTGAGGCATGGCATCCCCTGTTGCAGGAATTAGGGTTGTCTGGGCATCGGGAGAGCAGAGCCCTTGGGATGACAGGATTCTACTAGCCGAGGAAAGGAGTAGAGAAATGTCACTCAGGTGGAAGCCGGCAGGGTCTCCCTTGCCTCCTTTCCTAGGCTCTGTGAGGTTGGGCCTCTGCCAGCCACCAAAGGAAGGACATAAAGAATGGGCTTAGGTGGCTTCTAACATGTCCTCTTGTCCCCAGACCTCAAGAGGGACTGGGGCTTGGGGATAAGGATGAGAGTCTGAAAGCAGGCTCTGGTGGCTCTACTGAGCCTTGACTCTCCTTGTGGGTGTGGTTGAAATTAGCAGCAGTAGCCACTAACAAGCAGATGCCAAGTATGACCAAGTGTACCCCAGAAACCAAAAGGTGGACCCCAGGCAGGTCACCTCTCACCCAGAAACCCTCCCCATGGAGGGGGATGCTTTTGGTACAGGAGGGCAGGATGTGGGGAGTAGGTAACCAGAGATCCTGCCTGACACCCTGAGTTAGCCCTGGCATAAAGGGGGAGCTTTCAGAAAGGCGATGGGTGGGGATTCCCCAGGGGGTCGACACAGGAGTTCCAGAAGCTTCTGGGGTCTAGAGAGTTCTCGGGCCCTGGTCACAGCTACCCAGGTCTCCGTGATGCCTTTGGTCCCTGGCCTCCCCAGAGCCAGCCTTCCCTGGGTGCTGGGCCCTGCCACAGGAGAGGGATAGGCTCCGAAGCCAGGGACAGGGCTACAGGGTGTGTGTGGCTGGAAGCCAATTATGGCTATTGCTTCCTGGGGTGAGGAATGCTCCCCCTTCTGGAGTTTCTTTTGGAAAAAAAAATTATTTTACATAAAGTTCCTTAACCCTGTCTTCCCTTCCCAAAATGACATTTAAAAAGAGAAGCAATGCGCCTAGTTTAGAAATTGTCTCTGAAAAACAGCCTTTGCTCACGGAGCTTCCCCATGGTCATGTTGGTCTGGGGGCTGGGCAGCTGCCCTTGGAGCTGCCTGGAGGTCCCATGGGGGCTGTCAGCTGTCCAGTCACAGGCCATCTAGCCATACCCCTTCTAGCCTGACAGGCTCCCTCTTTGTGTGGGCCCACTGGGAGGCCCCCGTGGGGTGGTGGGGGACCCCGGGCCCTCCTGTCAGATGGCATTCTCTGGGGAGGCTCTGTGTATCAAGGAGTTGCGCTCGTTGAGAAGAGTGGTGGTCTCGTCCACCACAGGCAGCTCTGGCTTCTCCGAGGAGTTCTCCACGCATGTGGTGCAGCCGTCCAGGGGAAACTGAGGGCTGTTCTCCATGCGGGAGGCTAGGAGCCCATTCTGGTACTGCTGCCTAGTGATCTGTGGTGGGGGGAGGCAATGATGAGTGTATGGGGACCCCTACACTGGCCTGCGGTGCAGGGTAACAGTTGGGGCCTACAGAAACCTTAGAAAGAGCGAGATAAGCCTGTAATCCCAGCCCTTGGGAGGCTGAGGCAGGAGGACTGCCATGAGTTCCATGCCAGTCTAGACTACATAGCAAGACATTGTCTCAACAAACAAACAAAGAACGAGGGGCTTGCTGGCCTGAGGCCAAAGTAGCTCACCTTGATGTACTGCAGGTCTGTGAGCGCCCGGACGCTGAAGTCTGAGATGTACTGGCTCAGTACACAGGCGGTCAGCTGGTTGCTGCTGCCTGTCAGCATGGTGGTGGGGGACGCATCCGTGCTGTGGTCCGGGTAGCTGAGGGAAGCTGAGCGGCTGAGCTGGGTGGGGTGGGCCGGGGAGCGGTCTGTGGGACAGCAGAGTCCTTCAGGCTAGAGCCCCCAGTGTCCCCCTATCAGGCTCCTGCCTGACCTCAGCCCTGTGTGTGTGCCCCTGCCAGGAGCAGGACGTGGTTCTCAGGGACAGAGAAGTACATGGAAGCTCTATCTGCAAGATCTCACCTCCTCAGGGCAGACGATCAGCATGTCTCAGTGTCGTGCAACGAGGATTAAAACAGCCACCAAAACCAACCATGCAACCAGAAAGTTAACCAAAGACACGGACAGCAGCTGGCTATAAAACCCCTCATTTAACCCCAAGGACTCATCAGTCATGGTGACACCATGATTACTCTCACATGACAGACAAGCCACTGTACTGGTCTCATGGGACACAACTGTACATTAAAAAAAAAAGCATCACAAAAGGAAGAGTATGCAGTCTGCACTGTCTCCCCGTAAACACCATGCACCTGTCACACCCTCAGTGTCCTCACAGGGTGCGCTTAAGTGTAGGGAACTCAGTCTCCACTCCTCTGAGTGATAGGCTGGAGAGGCAGCGGGCCATCTCATAGCACCCCAGGGGTGGGGCTGGCACAGCCTCTCCTGGCCACCAGTGACAGCAACAGCAACAGCAGGCCTCTAGACCACGGACCATGACAGTGTGACTCAAGTTCAGAGGAGGAAGAGAAAAAGTGCCCAGGGCCTGAATGCCAGGGCTCTGAGTTTTGAGAAGCGGAACAATGAGGTACACAAAGAAGTTAATTGTGAGGCCATGCAGGCTTGTTTATTTATTTATTTATTTGGGGTTTTGGTTTTTTGAGACAGGGTCTCACTATGTAGTTGAGACTGACCTGGAACTCACTATGTATCCCAGGCTGGTCTAGAACTCACAGAGATCCTCCTGCCTCAGCCTCCCGTACCGGGATTACAGGCGTGTGCCACCACGCCCGGCTTATGCAGGCTTGTTTAAACCAACAGGAAGTGCATCCAGCTGATTTGCTTTAGTTAACTACGGAAGGTGCCAACTACTAAGTTAGCTATTCTAACAACTCAGCAGAGACAGCAAATGTGCTGAACCCAGAGATTCAATGACCTCCAGACTTTTCACCACTGCTGGCCAAATTTAGTAATGCCTTATCTGGAGCCTGAGCAACACTTTTCCTTTCGTTTATAAAACCTGGAAAACATAGTCTGGCTGTTCTACAGTTGGGCTGTGGTCACACCCCAGTAGGAAGTCGAGGATCATCAGAAGGGCTTGTGAAAGCAGCCAACTTAGGGGTTCCTCTCACTAGGTTCTAGAAGGAAAAAACAGATCCCACAAACATTAGGGATATCATTTAGCATTCCACATTAATTACCTGAACAACGGGATGCTTGTAGTTAGTGCTTACACTCTAGGAATGGGAAATGAATTTACTTATTTACTTGTTTCACTTTTGCAGTGCTAGGGACTGAACCCAGGGCTTCATGTAGGCAGAGAAAGTGCCAGGCAACTGAAGCTGCACTCCTGACCCAGGGAGCTGAATTTAAAACCAACACAGTGAGTGAGCTGACCTGTTAAAACAGGGCTCTAGAGAGACAGACAGCAAAATACTGTCCCTGAACAATGACATTGTGGTGCTTTTTAATTTTCTCAAGACTTTTCAGTTTCCTGTTTTCCGAATAACTTGTTACTTTTATGATTTAAACAAAGCAATAAATATAACAAAAAATAGGGTCATTTTAGTTGGTAATCTTATTTCTGAAAATATCCATTTTTTTCCCCTCTTTTTTCTAGTTTGGTTGGGTTTTGTTGTCGTTGTGGGTTTTTTTTTTTTTGTTGTTGTTGTTGTTGTTGTTTTGTGGGGGTGAGACAGGTCTCACTATGTAGCCACCAATTTACAGTGATCTTCCTGCCTCAGCCTCGCACATGCTGGGATTATAGGTGTGCATCATCACAGATAGATTTTTCTGTTTTTTTGAGACAGGGTCTTACTGTGTAGTTCAGGCTGACCACAAACTCAGGGTGACCTTCCTGCCTCAACTTCCCAAGTGCTAGGATCAGAGGTATGCACCAACATGCCTGGCAAGGGCATAATCTTAAACACAGAAAAGTGTTTTGAATTAAGTCTTTAAAAGTCAGACTGTCATCTATAATAAAGACTCCTCCAACAAATACTAATGAAGCAGAGAATCGGTAAGGAACTCTGCGTGTGCTGACAAGGAGGTTTGTGGAAAAGCATGTCTTTTCCCGTATTAGTTAAAAGCGATAGGATTCCAAGCTGGGGTGCACAGCTTCTTGGCCATCTGTGAGATAAGAGGCAGGCAATCTGCAGTCTCACCAGTGGAGTTTGAAGAGGACAGTGGGTGACTTCTTCCAAGTCACCTTTTCATTTATTATTTGTGAAACAGAAGGTCAAAATAGTGCAGTATGCTTTGGGACATTAAGCAGAATGGCACATGCCTGTCATCCCAGCTCTCTGGGAGGCTGAGGCTGGAGGATTGAAAGCTGGAGCTAGCCTGGGCAACTTAGCAAGACTCTGTCTCAAATTCAAAGGTGCAGCTCTGGCTCTGGGTTCCACCCCCTGTACCAGAGGGACAAAAAGGAGGAAAAACTCAACCACACCAAGATGAGCTGGAAGGCGACTAAGGCGATGGGCTGTAGAACTGCTAGGACCAAGGAGCTCAGACACTCCATCCAGGCGGGGCTCTGCAGCCCAGGGCACAGCGATGAGGGCCCCTCTGTGCCGGGGGGATGCAGGAGGCCAGGTGGCCTCAACCTGAATGTGTCTGTTCTGCACTGTCCCTGGGCTTCTGAGTAACAGGAATGGAACCCAGCCCCGGACAGAAACATCATGTGATTTGTGACTGTAAGGCTACACTGTATATTATAACAGAAAAGACAGAAATCATAAGAATTGCCAGGGATGACAGCACACACCTATAACTCCAGCACTTCAGAGGGAAGAGGACTGCCAAAAGTTCAAGGCCAGCCTGGGCTACATAGTGAGTTCAAGGCCAGCCTGGGCTACACAGAGAGACACTATTTCAAACCACACCAAAAAGAAAAGAAAGGAATCATAGGAGTTGAGCTCTAAGCACACCTGTGTCCCCAGTTCTGTCACTTACTGCTCCTTACAGCACTCCGACCCCAGTCCAGTGTTGACTCCAGATGAGGAGGCCAAGCCAGGAGGAGTCAGGTCACGTTTCTGGGGCTGTGCCTCTACCTGCCTTCCCCACCCTGAAGGGACAGACAGACCTCAGCTACAGTGGGAACCGGCAGGAAGGTTTTAGGACACAGATGCGATGACATCCATGTGCCAGGGCTGGTGGGTGGCTGGGCTAGCAGTTCTGACGAGCTGGCTTCCCTCACCTGTGCTCCCCTCCTACCCTCTGGGTATCTTTCTGTCCAGGGGGTGTGCGTGTCCACACCTTCTCCAGGAATGAAGGACCTCTGGATAAGCCATTCCAGAATGCAGCAACACACCCTGAAACTGGGCCCTGGGCCAAGAAGACAAACCAATCATGCCAGCCCGCAAGCCTACCCAGCGGGAGCCCCAGGTCTGTGGGGCAAGGTTAATGGGGCTGCAGAGCATGGCTTGGACGGAAGGTGGCAGTGTCAACTTCCCCAGCATGCCTGTTACCTGCGAGCCAGGACAGCAGGGAGTTCCGCTTGCCAGGCGGACACCCGACCAGAGTGGAAGGTGCTGGAGCAGAAGAGGAGGAGGTCAGAGCCTGGGTGGGTGGGAGGCAAGACTGGGCCACAGGATAAGGACACAGCCACCCTTGAGCAGGGTAAGGAGATGGGCAGTCACTGCTGCTACTTGCCACTTTGCAAGGGGCATCTGAGGGCGAGGGGTGCAGGGACAGAGCCCAGGCCCCAAGCGGAGGCAGCACTGGGGGACATCTTTCCCCCAAAGCCCTTCCAAACCAGTCAGGTGGTAGGCAAGTGTTCTCTGGCCAGGAGCATCTGGGCAACATCCACCTGTCCCTGAGTTCCCAGGGGAGCCACATCTGACCCCACCCCAGGTATCTGCAACACCGGACTTATCCTTATGGAGAGGTGCAGCATGGAAGCTCATGGCACCATGGCAGCCCTCATGGGGCCTTTCTGGTCAAGGGACAGTAACAGACGGAGCAGGCAAGCCAAGCACCAAAGGGGCGCTGTTCTCCTTCCCAGGGGGTTCACGGGAGGCACCAAGCCAGCTGGGTGCCACTTAAGCCACCAGGACTGCAGAGGCAGAGGGCACCACAGCGTTCTTCTCTGGGCCCTAACAGGCATTGGCTGAGCCCAGTCCCCGCTCAGCCTCCAAGGCACATGGCTGAGACCCCAGACCAAAGTTACCTGCCACATACCCCAGCAGGCAGGCTGTGGCCCTGCTGCCTCCTGTTCTGTCCCTGTCCCTATGCTGTAGCAGTAGGGCCTGGGGCTGACTGGCCCTGCTGGCTCATCCTAATCTCACAGGGGGCTGCCGCCTGCGTCCTACTTCCTGTGACAGCCGGATGCCAGTGCCTCTCAGTGGCACAACCTTCCCCACAGCAGGCCCTCACCGCCTCAGGGCACAGCTTCCGCTGCCCACGCTGGGCTCAGTCCCCTTCCACTCCTCCAGGTCTGGCTGCCCCGCCCCCAGCCACACACCCCCTGGACACCCAACTGCCCTCCTGGGCGCAGGGCAGAGGACTCACCAGGGGGGACCGAGGACAGGGCCATGGTCCCGTAGTAGGAGAAGGCACCCGTCTCAAACTTCATGTTCTCCTTCCCTGCCTCCACCTCTACCTTGCCCTGAAAGAACACGGCAGGGTCACGGCAGGGTCAAGGCCAGGTGATGCTGGGGGGACAGGGAGGCTGGGCGGGCACCGCGCACCTGCAGGATGAGCACGAAGTAGTCAGCTGGCTTGTTCCGCGTGTACAGGGAGTGGCGGGCACAGTGCTTGTTGTGCTCATCAAACTTCAGCTCCTGAATGACGTCAGGGTACTTGAGCAGCCGCAGCAGGATCTTCTCCGACATCAGCGAGGGGATGAACTGGGGCACCTCTGCAGGAGGGAGGGCACGTCACTCGGGCCCAGGTGGTCGTCCTGGCCTGCGGGGGATGCCTTCCCTGCAGGGTGGCTCTGACAGCTGGGACCCGGGTCTGTGACTGCCTGGGCTTGGAGCGGCTCTGTACTGACAGCCTGTGATTCTGGCAAGTGCTGGACTCGCCTCAGGCTCTCATCTGTGAAATGGATGGGAACCTCACAGCGTCCATGAGAGGTTACAGCAGGATGCGTTCTTGGCATGTGGAACATGCTTGCGGATGTCCTATAACCACTGCCACAGCACCCTCATCAACATCGATGCCCCAGCAGGATGACAACGGGCAGCACTGCACCTGCAGCAAGGGCAGCGAAGGACACTGGCCCAGGGTGTAAGAAGTGTAGGCAGGGGTTTTCCGTTCCTTTCCTTCCCCTTCCCTTTCCTTTTTTGAGACAGGGTCTTGCTGTGTATTCCAGGCTGGTCTTGAATTCACTATGGAGCCCAGGCTGGCCTCAAATTCACAATGATTCTCCTGTCTCAGCCTCCTCAGGGCCAGGATTACAGATAATGCACCAACATGCCTGGGGGCTCAGCAGGTATTTTTCTAAACTGTCACCCTGGTTTCTCTCTGGGGGGAGGGACTTGGAATTGGGGTGGGAAGAGAAAATTGTCTTTGATATAGAGATCCATTCCTGTGAGAGGCAGGACACAGGCAAAGGGAACTCAGGCTCTGCAGGCCAGTGAGTGGGACAGGTGCATGCTGTCCCATGCAAGCCTCTTCTTACTGGTCCACACTGGGGATGGGCTTGGGGTGCTTAGGAGCCCAGTGCCCATCTGTCTGTCCGTCTGTCTATTTGTCTTTCTTTCTGTTTTTTGAAACAGTTTCAATATGTACTTCAGAGTGGTATTGAACTCACTATATTGCCCAGGTTGGCCTTGAACTTGCAGCGATCCTCCTGCCTCAGCCTCCCAAGTGCTGGGATTACAGGACTGTGCCACCACATCCAGATTCCCAGTGATTATTTTCAAAACTAACTTATCTGACCCCAGACATTCATACCAACAGCCCATAATAGCAAGCAAATAGCTAGTCCAGAGAGAGGCATCTGGTCCCTCTCCCCAGAGGGAAGGCCCTAGAGGCCCAGTCTTCTCCTCCTGGACACCTCTCACCAGCAACAGGAGGTCCTCAGCTGCCTCTTACCTGTGGACAGGAAGCGGTGAGCAGCCAGGAGGAGCTGGGGTGAGATTTTGACTTTGAGTTCATTGTCAGCATCCTTGAATGCAGAGAAGTCGCGCTTGTTCTTCTCAGACACCCGTTTCCGGCTCCGGTTGTCAGCTGCTAGAGCAAGGACTGGACCTGAGGATACTGTGCCCTGACACAGCTCCCAGCTCTGCTGGGGGAACGATGGGGTGAGCAGCCTTCTCCCTCTCCTCCATGTCCCCGGACCCAGCCTTTGCACCTAGGGACACTGACTTCTGATGGGAGCTAGGGAGGGGTCCAGGGCCATGGAGAGGGTAGAACTCACTGTACATGTCGGACTCGTCCAGGATCTCACACTTGATGATTTCCTCAATGACGTCCTCCAGGGTGACCAGGCCCAGCACCTCGTAGAAGGGGTCACCCTCGCCCTCGTTGTTCACCTTCTGTACGATGGCCAGGTGCGACTTCCCTGTGGGGACAGTGTACAGTCAGCCGAGGGGCTGAGCAGGAGACCCCACCACTGAATGGCAATATATTTAGGTCCCTGGGGCGGAGTTATGGGCGGCTTTTTCCTTTTTCTGTTGTTCCTACTACAAACAGATATTGCTTTTATGCAAAGGAAGACTCAAAGTATATATTTTCTTTGTACTGGGGTCAAACTTGGGTCCTTGTGCTTGCGAGGCAGGCAGTGGAACCACTGAGCTAAATCCCTGGCCCTTTTGCCACTTTCTAGAAGCACTTCCAGAAGTCCTTTTTGAGTATCTTTAGTTGTGCTGTTGTGGTTGCCTCCATGTCCTCAGTTGATTCAACATGTTTCCCCTTCACGATCATTTTGACTCTGAGAAAGTGCCGGAAGTCACACGGTGGCAGGTCTGGCAAATGAGGTGGATGAGGACACAGCAGGATGTGTTTATGAGCTGCCTTTCTACAGATGGCACTGAGCAGCAGCAGCATTCACTGTAGTTTTAAAAAATCTCACCTTGTATGACCCTCACAAAAGAGGACTTCCAGAGCTGCTTCAGAAAGTGGCAAGAACCATGGGATAAGTGGGTTTGAAGCAAAAGGGAACTGTTTTTTTTTTTTTTTTTTTTTTTTTTTTTTTTTTTTT